ACATATACATACATATACATACATATACATACATATACATACATATATATATATATGCAGACATATGTATATATCTATATACATACATATGCATATACATACATGTATATATATATATGTACATATGAATGCATGTACATTTACATGTACATATATCTGTACATGTAACACACGTATAATATCTTATAATTCCCTGTAACAAAATCCGAAAGAGCACCGGGATCAAAGTGCTACCTCTCCCCTCTCCTCAGCCGCCTTCCTCGCGGCCCATGTTTTCCGGTGATGCGGGTCCTGCGATTTGTTTTTTTCCAAATGGATAAATGATGTTAGCAATAATATCCAATAATTGATAAAATACAAAGTTACTAGAATTCACTAGATGTTACTAGCAATCGATCATTGAGCACCCCTTCCTTCCAACCATTGGTTTCGCCAACATGACAGATTCCGCAGATGATTGAAAGGGGCTCCCCATTGGGACCGCCCGAATTCACAACACCATCACATATATGCCATTGGATACGGCCATTCATAGGTGACCATGGATATCAATCCGTAGCTCGGCTGGGATTGCAACCAAAGCATCTATAGATTTGGGTCTATGATTCAGGTTCTGAAAATTGCACATATGCCTCTCGTCTTGGACACAAGATAGTCACAGATAGTCTCTTGTAGGCACGTTCAAAGTTGGATTTGCTACAGTAATCCCTCATAATGAACCAACCTTTTGTCAATCCGTATTTGTTGCGGGGATGACCAGTCCCTTTCATGGGAAGGATACGTGCCATGTTTTGACCAAGCACCACTTTCTCACAACTCTCCTTGGAGTCGCTCTGCTTCTTTTTCCTCGAATGAGCAGCTCGCAAGGCCCTGCCCCCTCGCAGGCTCTTCCACGCTTATCTGGGTACGCCAAAATCTACATAGATCTACAGGTTGGATAATCGGTCTTCCTTGGACAACTGGCCTTTTGAGGGCGACTATGCCCAATTATGCCCAATTTCCAATCTCACCCATCTGTGAATTTCAACGACGAAACCCGGCTGAGCCAAGTTGCCACAGCTGGATTATCTTGTTCCACTCGCTGTATTTGCTTCGGAACCATTCCGAGGGCCTTGGAAGCGACGCGTGCAGAACGGAGAGTGGAGGAATAGTACAGAGCAGTCCTACAGAGCAGTCGCGCGAATAGAACCAATAGATTCTGAGGCTCATCATAGCTCATCAGCAAAATCGATGACAAAGCCACAACTCATAACCCATCATGTCCAATATATATATATAATCATGTGTATATATATATATGAGTGACGAAGGCAACTTGAATAATCACACTTACAAAAGAAATTTCACGATCTTACACCTTGACTCACGCGAGTCATGATCACAATAAAAGCTTCAGAAACACCACATATCAAATCTCTAGACAAATGTTCAACCAGCATGCACACACACAAGATCTACGCAGTTGTCAAAACACCGTTTCACGGCTAGACAAGTGACAGCCATAGAATAATCATTCGTAAGCTGAACCAGTATGCCAAATTTGCAGTTACAGAGAGGATAAATCATGATCAAGCGCTGGATTTGGATGAATTGGGGTTATCAGTACACACCATATTTAATGTATATATATATATAATGTATGCATGTATATATATATATAATATATGTATATATATTATATATATGTATATATATAATATATATGTATATATATTATATATATGTATATATATTATATATATGTATATATATATTATATATGTATATATATAATATATATGTATATATATAATATATGTATATATATATACATATTCATCAAAATACACACATATATAACAACCATATATTGAATATGTTAATACATCAATATATTATTATTAGTATAATTCACAGTACATTAATACATATATAAAACAATCACTTAAATATATTAAATATATTAAATTATTTATATATGAAATATATTAAACAATCACTTATCACCATATCATAGCCGAATCAAGTCTTCACTCTAAACAAACCATAAAATTGCCAGCGTAGCGTAGCCAAAGGGCTGCAGGTCTTCGACTCGTTGAGTCATTTTTCGTTCCAGCACCTCATTTGAGATCAACCACCAACAAGATCCACCAAGAAGATCAAAGAACGAATTGAAAATGGATGGATATGGATGGATGTGGATGGATATGGATGGATATGGATGGATTGAATATGCTTGAATCTGGTTTGGACCCATTTGGACCCAGGCACCCATTTCTTCAAGTACTCCTGGCTTTGGGCTTCTTTGTACCACACGAAGGTGAGCTCGTCATAGCCTGACAAGGGGGCAGGATGAGACCTCTGCATGCCTATGTTAGGGGAGGTTCCGGATTTTCGTCGAACAAACATGGACTTATGCTTGCCCAAAGTATTGTGAAAACTCAAGAGACAACAGCAGGGACTGGCACTGGTGACGAAAGGGGTGGCCTTCCTCCTTGCTCGGCAATGTGAACTTTTGGTATGATGATGACATCTCCTGCGGCAAAGTATCTGGCAACACACAGTCTGCCATCTTGAGTTCAAAGACATGTGCACAGACATGTTCACGATACAATTAATCATGGTTGCAACGCCGGAAATATCATGGAATATCTATTTGTTCAGAGGGCAACGATTGGAAAATTGCGAAGGATAAAGATCGGACGGCCGATTCTCTTCGCAAGTACTTGGTTTTTCGATGGTAATTGGATATGAAACAACAAGTTTGACATAATTTACCCTCTGCCTCTGGTAATTTAACATAACTATGGAAAATCACAACTTTCAATGGGAAAATCCACTATAAATGGCAATTTTCAATAGCTATTGATACCCAAGAGATCAGATTTTCAATGTGATTTTCTCACCAGTTCAGTCATAATCAGTCCTTGGAGGTCAGATCTGGCACCTCTTTGGGTCTGAAGCACAGCCTTAGTAGCCATGGCTTGGCTTTCATCAGTACCCTCCGGTACTCAAACGTGGCAAGCTGGGAAATCCACTGGTTCTTTTTTGGGCTTTCAACAGGAAAATTCACCATCATAAATGTTGTGTATTTTCCAGCACGCCATGTTTGACTACTGGAGGCGCCATCTACACTGGTTGGTTGGTGGTTAAGTCTACCCCTCTAAAAAAGATTAGAGTTAGTCAATTGGGATGATGACATTCCCAACTGAATGGAAAAAAAAAGTCATGTTCCAAACAACCAACCAGATCATTAGTTCCCATTATATTCCCATCATATTCCCACCATTAAATCACCATTAAACCACTACAGGAATCATCCCGAAGCAGTTGACCTTCGCGGATTCAGCACTTGGCCGACCTGACTTTTTCTCCTCCGCGGTCAGTTCAACCTTCACCTGACGCACAGGAGCTCGCCTAAGTGGTTCCGTTTGTTTCAGAACTGAAGATTGGAAAAAAAACATGGAAAAAGCAAAAACCTAAAAAAAAACATTCTTGCAACATATGTTCAGCAGGTCTGCTTCTTGTCGTATTTCCATGTATTTCCCGCTGCCGCCATAAACTGTCCAGCCTCTTCCTCGACGACTTCCTCCTGGTGGTTGGTGATTGGCGACTTTGGTCCCATTCTTTTGGGATGAAAGCATCAGCATTTCTTAGGGAAGGGACGAATTCACCCAATATTTTGATGCTACATGTTTATACCACCCATTTATCGCAATTTGGGGTATGGTGATTGCTTCAACCACATTGCTGTCTGAAGTTTGTATGAAACCATAAGCCACTCAGCGTTGCTTCACTGCTAGACTGCATAAATGGGCAAACAGTACCTTCACGCATTTCCGCCCATATTTGGGTTGATCCAAAAACCGAGGTACAAAAACCGACCACGCTTTGGCAAGTTGAAGAGATGCCCCATGTTTGGACAAAATCTGGAAATTCCTAGAAATTCAATGAAGATCATCCGTTAAAACCCATGAAGATCAACACCAATTTGATCCAAATTGAGTCGAATTATCAATCAATGCTGTATGCATTTATATCGCAGGTGTGGATGGTGTTTCCATGTTTTTTTTATCATCAGAAACAAGAGGAACTGTCTCCACCATGTACAGCTCCTCTGCCGCATCCCCTTCTGCTTCACCTGGGGCTATGGACGGCGTTCTTTTCCCTGCAGGAAAACATGCGTTTTCAATTCAACATGGATTCTACATCTGCAAAACAACACTCTTTTCAAATAGCTGTTCATGGATCCTACAACTGAAACAATGGTGATTCAACCATTGGAATACTGTAGTAAAAGAATCAATGGGGATAACAATGATCGGGACATAAGCGGTTTCACATCTGCCTGCTTCATCTTTCTCCTGAAGAAGCAGCTCTCTGTGCTGCAAAATCTCGGGAACATGGGCGGTGACATGTCCTAGTTAAACATCACCAAACTCATAAGAGGTATCATCTTGAACAATCTTTAACAACCATTTGAAGTTGATGTTTGAATTCCCCAAATGGGAAATTGACCAACCCACACTTCCCAGTCCTTCTCCCCTTCCTTTCCTTCAGCCTGTGTCAAGGCGTTGTGGGGGTGCCCATGCTACCCATGCCGAAGCTGGGGGCTGGGAAAATACGCTCGGGCACTTCTACTGGGAATATCAGAATCATTTGGCAAATTTCTGGCATTTCCGCAGCAGCTCACAAATCACAAACACGTTGTCTCCTTTTCTCAAAGTGTGTAACACTTGAGCATATACGTTTCTGCTGATAACAGGGCATCTGCCAAACAACCTGCGGGTATGGCAAGAACCCTTGCAGTCTGCAGGACAAATCATCTAACATGAGTACAGAACAACGCCCGACCTGACAAATTCGGGGCGACAAAATCCTTCCTACTAATAGGTGAGTGAGGATTTCAATCTCAAGTAATTCGCGCTGGCCCCAATTTGAATGACTGGTCACACACCTCATAGTTACTACAGTGTTAGGCGGACGTCATTTCCAAGGAAAAATGTATGTACACACGGACAGTAAACGTGTAGTTTACACGGTCTATATATTCATAATAGAGATGTAAATATGTATATATTACATTTATATGCATACGATATATATATATATACACATATCTGCAACATATCCACACACACAGATGTAATATGTGTACGTATATGTATATATGTATATGCATAATATATAGAAAATATATATATATATATGTATATATATATATATATGTATATATATATGTATATATGTATATGTATATATATATATATGTATATATATATATACATGTATACATGTATGTATGTATTATATATTATATGTATATGATATACATGATCTTATATGTTGTATATATTCACATGTTTTTTAAAATTATCTTGTGATGTTCAAAAGAAACGTGAAACTCAAGCGTGACCATGGCCTTGGCTGCCTCCTCCTTCTTCTGGCGCCTCGGGAGTATCTAATTTTGAGCCAACATCTACCCATTGAACCAACCAGTAATGACCAGGGAGAATTTGCAAACGGATAGCAGTGGTCCGCAAATAGATGGATATGGCTTGCCTCGGGGACCTATGATACACCTGCAAAATCCTCCAAACATCCTGGCGTTCTGAGAGTGTCAGTGTCTTCTGCAAGTCTCTGGCGCTTTCCTCTGTTCCTCTAGCGCCTTTTTCCGCGCAGCTTCCTCCTCATCAAGACACCCAAGAATTTATAACTCCAGTGGCTGAAAACTGGCACCACCCCAAATCCCTGCGAGTGATTCTTTTCAAGAACTGCCAATGGATCTTCCACAGTCTACTTAAATGTCTACAGTAGGGTCCAAGAATTTTGGGAATGAAGTTCATGACTGACTCATGACATTCCCACACCATTGGTGCAGCATGGTGCAGCTCTGCCATACACCAGGCCTTTTTACGCGCCAACTCTGCCTCAGCTGCTTCCTTCTTCTCTTTCAGCAAGGCCTGATTCTTCCCAGCTATGCAGGGAACACATGGGGCCCATCATGGAACAATGCAATGCATGGTTCTCATGTGAATCAACTTGAATCCCACAGCTTTTCGCATTTTTCACTGATAAAAATCTATGGAAATCTTCATCTGTCCAGTCTGTCCAGAGGTTTTTCTGTGGACAGCAATCCATGACACGACTCTTGGCACGGTGCCAACCTGTTGGATGAAAGTCTTGTAGTCCTGAGGCGGCTCCCCCAGCATCACCTTTGCCACCTGAGACCACATCGGCAGTGGCATCGGCATCGGGAGGGCGCTATTGAGGGCTTCATCCACCCCAGGGGCCCCAACCACGACCTGCCAACACCGAAAATAAAGCATCAAGCAAACATATGCTGGTTGGTGGTATGCCTACCCCTCTGAAAAATATTAGTGAATTGGGATGATTATTCCCAATATATGGAAAAATAAAAAATGTTCCAAACCACCAACCAGTATGTCAAATTAGCATCGTCTGTTTCCACCATTGAAAAAGTCATCAGATTGATCTTGCCAACCATTTCCCACTGCCCACTAAGTCTAGGGGTTGTTTCACCATCGAAGCCCAAACATTCACCTTTCCTGCAAAAAAAACATGCTTTATAAATGATCAACCAGTGCATTGAATATTGGTACCCTTTTCCAACAAACAACCTGAATATCATATCAAACTCGTTCTATCCCCATTGTAGTATCTGTTTTTCCTACTTCAATCCCTATGATTGATGATCAATCGCTATCTTTTCAAGTCACCTTTTGAGGTTGGTTAGATCACCATTTTTCATTATCAAATCACCATTTTTGTCGCTATTTTTGGACTGGGGCCAGGCCTTTTTGTAGCAATGGCCTGGGAAACGTGCAAGTATGCTACTGCGCCCCTCTGCCGTCAAGTTGGCTTTCACCTGACAGCTCGGTGATGTACCACAGCATCTAATTGTATGTATCTTACACATATATATATATGTATATGTATACTGTATATATAAGAAAGTACAACAAACGATGTAATAAAATGAAATATGATAATGTGACATAATGTAACATAATATAACTATAATATAAATATAAGATAACACAACATCACACATAAAGTAATATAATACACCATATACATAATATATCTATATCTACCTGTATCTTTCCAGAATTGTATAGACGATGTTTTTTTTCCTAGCTGTATTACTATGATTTTCCCTATATACATGCACCCATCCTGTTCGCACCAGACATTTGATAGGTACCTCAGGGATGATGAAGTTGCGTGGCAGCACATTGGCTACGGCTTTCATGACCTTGGAATCTGGGAGTAAGATGGATCCCGTGATGCCTGGGAGGAAGATGGCAGAAATGAACAACATCTAATTACATATCTTATGCAACTGTCTATCCACAACACATAATAACAATACAGTATATGAATATCATAGCATACAAACTTTGCCAAATAGTTTTTGTTGCGGAGTTTTTTTGGGGCATCGATCTGCAGTGATTTCACGATTGCTTCAGTCTGCAACACTATTGGCAAATCATTTATTGTCTGTAGACAATTTGGAGCAAACCTTTTCAAGTGCAGGAAATTAATATGACCACATCAATGATTTT